GGGGGGGGGGGGAGGACACGCTCCAGGCCCTCGCCTGGCGTGGCACACTCACCGATGTAGAAGTTGGTCACCGTGCGCATCTGCTTGTGGCGGCAGATGACATAGATGACCAGCGAGTTCCCCACCAGGCCGAGCACCATGAGCGCGGCGAAGAAGAGCGGGACGAGCCAGGCGTCCAGCAGTCGCGGCGCGGGGCCCAGGCCGTCGGATGCGTTGGCGACGCAGCCGGGGCAGCTGGAAACGTTGGCCAGTGTCCACCAGGACACATTGGGCCCCGATGAAGCCGCGACATGCATGGCTTGGCACGGTCTTCCTCCTCCTCCTCCTCCTCCTGGCTGTCTGCCCGGATTTGCCTCGAGGACCGAGCCCGGGAAGAGTGCGGAGGCTCTGGAGGCGGCGGGATACGAGGATGTCTCAGTCGCCGTGGCCTCGCGCGTTTATACCCGGCGCCCTCCCCTGGTCCCCGCCTGCGCGCCCTCCCCGCGCGCTCGCCCACCCTCCACCGCGCACGCACGCGGCGCTCCTCGCCTCCACCCAGCCGGGTCCTGTGTGCAGGGGCTGGAGGGAGGGAGGGCAGGACCCGCAGATCAGGGGTGGGAAGGTACGTGGAGGCCCGCTGTGCTCCTCCCCTGCACCACCCCAAGGGCTGGTCTCAATCCCCCCCAACCCCCCCCCCTCCGGCAGAGATTCAGGGACCCAGCTCCCACCCAGGCTAGCCATCTTCAAAGGAAAAGCTGGGGAGAGCGCCATGGAAGTTTCCGGGTAGTGAGCTGGTCTCTGACTGAATGTTGACCCATCTGTCTCTAGGGGGGTGTTTATCTCCCTCGGGCCCCCCCCCAACTGGTAGCCAGTGGCCCACACCAACTGGGGATACAGGCGAGAGCTTTTGATGCTGGCAGCTGGAACCAGTGGGTAGGCGATCCGAAAGGTGAGGCATCTTTTTATTTATTTACTTTTAATTGTTACTATAAAGGCGATGTACGGAGGGATTACAGTTACATAAGTCAGGTAAAGAGTGCACTTCTTTTTGGACTGTGTCATCTTTTCCCCTCGCTCTCCCAGCTTCCCCCTCCCATAAGTTGCATGGTTCATTCTCTACATAGTGTCCAGTAAGTACCATTGTTGTAGTTCTCCACCCTTTATCCCTCCACATCTGCCCCTTAAGGAGAGGCATCTTACATCTTCACCTCACCCTGAGAAGCAAATGGGGAGAGTGCTTGCCTCTCCTGGATTCAGGCTTGGTTTCACCTATTCTGATTATGCAGCTGAGAAGAAGAGGTTGCCACAAGACTCAAAGGCAGCTTAAAAAGTTGTGGGCAGGGAAGGTGGCTCAGTGGTAGAACGCTTGCCTTGCATGCCTGAGGCCCTGGGTTCGATTCCTCAGCACCACATAAGCAAAAAGAAAAAAAGCCAGAAGTGGCGCTGTGGCTCAAGAGGAGCCCAAGCCCAGAGTTCAAGCCCCACAACCAACAACAACAACAACAAAAAAGTGGAGACTCTGTGGGTAAAATTGCTTTAGGAGGGGCTGTGAAGGTGGCTCAGTGGTAGAGTGCATGCATGAGGCCCTGGGTTCGAGTCCTCAGCACCACATAAGCAGAAAAAGCCAGAAGTGGTGCTGTGGCCCAAGTGGTAGAGCGCTAGCCTTGAGCTGAAGAGCTGAGAGACAGCACAGCACCAAAGCCCAGAGTTTAGGCCACACGACTGGCCAAAAAAAAAAAAAAAGTGGTTTAGGAGCATGTACAAGGCTCCAGGTTCATCCCTGGGGGACAGGGACACTGAAGAAATGGGGGGTCCACTGGCACCTGTAATCCTAGCTACGCAGAAGGCTGAGATCTGAGGATTTTGGCTTAAAACCAGCCCATAGGAAAGTCTGTAAGATTTTTCTTTTTAATGGTCATGGCTTGAAATCTGGCCCTGGGTGCTGTCCCTCAGCTCTTCAGCTCAAGGCTAGCACTCTACCGCTTGAGCCACAGTGCCACTTCCAGCTTTTTCTGCTTACGTGGTGCTGAGGAATGGAATCCAGAGCCTCATGAATGTGAAGCAAGCACTCTACCATTGAGCTTCCTTCCCAGCCTCCGTGAGATTTCTTATGTCTAAGTAATTACCAAAAAGTTGAAAGTGGTGTGGTCAAGTGGTAGAGACTCAGCCTTGACGAAAAAGCCAAGATCTGAGGTCCTGAGTTCAATCTCCAGTAACACACACACACACACACACACACACACACACGAGAGAAAGGTGTTTCCTTTTCATCCTTTTTTCCTGTGTATGTGCCAGTCCTGAACTCAGAGCGTGGACCCTGCCACTTAATGTTTTTTTCCTCAAGCATAGTACTTTACCACTTAAACTATACCTCTACTTCCAGCTTTTTGGTGGTTAATTTGAGATAAATGTGTTACTATCTTCCCTGCCCAGGCTAGCTTTGACCATGTTCCTTAGTTCTTAGCTTCCTGATTAGCTAGGGTTACAGGTGGGAGCCACCAGTGCCTATGCTCATTGTGTGTGTGTGTGTGTGTGTGTGTGTGCGTGCATGTGTGCACGCGCACCAGTCTTGGGGCTTCAACTCAGGGCCTGGGCACTGTTTCTGAGCTTTTGTAATCAAATCTGGTATTCTACCACTTTATCCACAGCTCCACTTCTGGCTTTTTTTTTGGGGGGGGGGGGTCGGGTCGTGGGGCCTGAACTCTGGGCCTGGGCACTGTCCCTCAGCTCTTCAGCTCAAGGCTAGCGCTCTACCACTTGAGCCACAGCGCCACTTCCAG